AGAAAAATTGTTATTTGAAGTAAGAATTTGTAGATAGTAAATATATGTATATATATTAATAATAATAAATCTTATGTAATTTAAGTTATTTATTGGTATGTATATTAAATTGTATTTACATTATTTGTATATTATCCTGTACTTCGGAGTCTGTAATTTGTACTCTTATTTCTCAAGTTGTGAGGTTAAGCTTGGAGTACAGGTAACCGGGGTTAATTTATTTTATATACATGCTTTTGATTGTAAGGTGTTTATTATGTTTTTATTTTCTCAAGTTAATTTGTGAAATTATACCTGTGAATAAAGTGTATATTTTCTTATATGACAAATTTTGGTGAAGTGAGAAGTATGTTGATTTAAGTATGCTTGAGTTGTGCTTTATTGTAAATTTTGTTTTCTTGTGGTGCTGAATTTAATATGCTAATATTATGTTATTGAAAAAAATGATGAAAATGTGTCATACTTTGTTTGAAATTATATCATTTTACTTTGAAAAATTATGAGATTTTTAATATATATATATATATATTGTGACTATGCATGGGGTTCATATGTGGAGGTTGGGATTTTGTTATGTGGAGGATAATTGTTCTTGAAGCCCGCGCGGCATGCCTACACTACGGATCCCAGTGTTTGGCCTTTTTGTTAGACCCCTATAGTTCCTCCTTTTCCTTGGCCTATAATTGAGAACGAACTCTTGGGTAGACACCTCTTGCATCATAGTCTATTTTTGGACGGTGTAGGTACAGGAGGGGGCCCATTGCTTGATGTGAGTGGGGTGACCTTTGGCCGGGTTACTCAGCACAGAAAGCCTGGGTTCTTGTTAAGGAGTCATAAGGAGGAGTAAGGTGATGGGAGGGTATATTTCATTGTGTTGTTGCATATATATACTTTTATATGAATTTGTGTTGTGGATGGAGAGATATACTCTTTTTATGTGATTGTATCTATTAAAGTACCATTTATTTCTTAAACTATATTTAAGCACTACTTCACCAACTTGCCATCCTACTTGTATATGTCATAAATTAATAGTTGGTTACTGGGACTTTACGTCTCACCTCGCTATTCATCAATGTTTTTTAGGAGAGCCATCTAATTTGGCTTGGCGAGAAAGGAAGCAACCAGAGGCATAGGCGAGTATAGCCCAGTAGTCCTCTTTTGGTTTAGGCATGTAATGTTATGTATATTGCCATCTTAGGACCCACGACTGTGTTGACATATACTCTCTTTTGTTTGGATGACTGTATTTGATGGGATGCTGTTAAAATGGCTAAAGGCCATAAGACTCTGCTGTATGTGATACTCTTATGTGTATGACTTGTGGACTGTTTTGAGCACGCTATGTTTCTTGTGTCCTAAGTCTTTGTGGAATGAATGATATTTTGGGCTTGTGGGTGGTTGCTGTGTCCTGAGGCTTTGTTCTATGCGTGGTTAAGCCCATGGGTATTTTATGTATCCTAAGCCACTTGGGATGTTTTCGGAATAAGCCAAATTCTTTATAACCATGGTAGTATTTTAACGCTCTAACTCAATTCTTTTTCTACCATGGTTATCATTTTAAAAATGGTTTTATAATTATGTATTAAGAAGAGGTCTTTTTTTTAGTGATAGTACATATAGTTGATGGATAGCATGTGGAAAAATATACACATCTAGCCGATGGCTTCAAAGTTAGAATAGTTGCGTTCATGACCGTTGACAAATCATCAAATATCACTAATTATAAAAACGACTTATTTTGATTTTGTTCCCATGAAACTCTATTAGTCCCATATACCAATATGATGAGTTCTTCACAAGCTCATGTAATTGTGCACATATAGCACAACATCATCAAATCAAACTACATTATTATTCATCTGCATCCACACATAAGCGCATGTTATTATTGGACATAATTGCATAACTATTATCCCATGGTAGACGACTAACGAAGCTCCGATTTTCCTATGCTTGGGGGCAGAAAGTGGTGGCGTAGTTAGTTCCGCCGTTGCAAGTAAAGGTGCCTTTGAGATCATCGAAAGCGAAACTATAAGCTTCAGGACACTGACTGCTGAAAAACTGGGAGTATTTGGTGCGTTTGCATGTGCTTGAACTGTTGTGCTCTCCGGTGCAGCAATACTGAAGATTGCCAAAAGCTACGCAAGCACTCTTGCACGCAATAACGCTCCCACAGAGGAGGAAGGCCAGAGTAAGGCACAAGACAACTCGGGTATTCATGATAAGAGGTGCAGTGTATGTATTGGTGTACTAAATTTGTGGTGTGTTTTGATGGGAGATATATGCCTCATGTTCGGGTCTGTATATATAGGCCGCGGCGCTTCGAATAGTAAGGATGGAAATTTAATGCGTGGAGCCATATATCCTGCCGTGCACGTTGCGAATATTGAAAAAATAGCTGGTTTCCCACACCGTCAATCATGGAAATGGCCCATTAATGATAATTTCATGTATTCCTCCCAAAAAAACGTTAAGTTGTGGAGATCAATGCTTGTTGGTAGTCTTCAGCGGGGGCGAAACTACAGAGACATCTAGGTCAGGTGGTAATATTATACTGCTTCCGATCTAGTCCTAATTATAAGACTTTATTTATAGAGAACGGAGTTAGTATTAGATACTACTGCAAATTCGTCCCTGTCAATTAACATCGCTGTGATCTTTTCGTTTGCTGTTGCGCATATTATTTATCGTCGAACAAATTACTTTGGTTTCACCGTACTAGGTGCGTATACACACACATATATGCTACTTCTCCACTTGCCATTTCAGCTGTTAGAGGGCTAGTGCTAATTTATATAATCTTTTGGTTCTAAATATAAGTTTTATTTTATAATATTTACAGTGTAAATAAATAATACGTACTAATAATAGTTAAGGGATAAATATCAAGCGCTGGAACTCCCTGACTGACTCCTCTAGATAGTCAATAATCTCGCCCTTCTGTCTTCCTCGATTTTTCCTTTCAGTGGGGTCTAAGTAACTTAGTAATGCCAATTCACTGTTGACCTGATAATCCGTGTGGTCCAACCATGGAAACATAAACAAAGGTGGGCGACCGGAGACTGCTTGTGCTGGCAAGGCTGGGTGTGGTGGACTGGCAGCCACGTCATGTTATTTCGAGCTTCTGACCTACGATATAAAAGCTTCAAGTTGTCCGGGGTCAGTCACGTCACTATGAAATTTCTGACGCTATTTCGTGGAGATTACCGGACCGAGGTAGTTACAGGTCCCTGATATGCTTCCTCGATTTTTTTTAGCCATTTTATGCCTATCAATATCCTAAATATAAGATTTGTTTTACAATATAATTTATAATATAAAATAATTAAGTCTTTTATTTAGAGCCGGACAAGTATGTATACACAGTTATTCAAAACACATCTGCATGCCTGCTTAGGAGGCATTTCCCAATATATAAATTCATTTAATCTTATAAGTTAAGTATAAAGTCCATCTAAAAATAAAAAGAATATTAGTAAATGTTAACGCAGGCCTATGTGAATTTATTATTTATTTAAAATACGAGCCAATGTGCTAATATATGATTTTATATTTTTTCGGCTAATATCCAATAAAATATAGTTTGATCATGCAATGAATAAAGGACATCTCATGACGAAAAGGAAAAAAGAAACTAAAATATCCTCAAAAATGCTAAAAAACAAATTAGGGTTGATAAATTTTAGAATCTCAAATTAGACCTATTATACTATTTTGAAATTTTAAAATATTGTAAAATGTAATATTGCCCTTACTCCCAAAAATTATTTTCATATTGCTATTGATTACTCTATCTTAACTATTGATAACTTTTGTTTCAAAGTTTCAATGACTATTTTTGTATAACTATTGACTACACAAGAGTAATAAATAATAAAATAAAAAAAGAGGGGTATTATTGTAATCTCACTCTAAAAATTAATATCAGATTGGTCCCTTGGTCCTGCAGTGAGGTTTCAGAAAGTTTTGGGGGCTCTTTGATATTAATTGTCTTCTGCGGTCCTACAGTGAAATTTTCCCTATTTTAAAAAAGCAGTGAAGGACAATTGTATGATTTGACAAGATTTGAAAATTTTCAAACAGTGCAAGAGGCATGAATTGAAACTTTGAAATTCATTTATACAAACTTGTCTTTTAGCAAATTTTAGGGTATTTTATTGTCTTTTTCTCAAGCAAAAAATAATCTAAGTGCTTTTTTTTTCACTGTTAAAGACCAAAGGACAGTCATCAACCTGAATAGTAAGTCGATACTGTGAACAAATAACTCTTATTCGTGTTTTTTTTTTTTATAATTTTCAGTGCTCTTTGAATCGAGCCCAACTGTCCAAGCATTTATATACATACATACATACATATATATATATCTCTCTCTCTCTCTCTGGGCTAAAACCTTATCGTAAGAGGGAAAAGCATCAACCTCGGGGAAAATGGCGTCGAATGCTCTGATTCTCTCGCGTGGGAAAGGCATCTTACACCTCCGTCTAGCAAGGAAGATGATCTTTTACTAAGAAGCTCCAAGAAAATTAAGAATACAGGTATCAGACCTGAAGGTAATCTATTGGAAGGTCATTGGCCTTTGCTGGGGGAGAAAGTTGCAGAAAGGAAAAAAGGAAGTGTATCCTTCGCGGACAAACTTAAAGGAACTGGGAATGGAGAAAATGGGGATTCTCATGAGGAAATAGAAGATGCTGCTACTGATACATCTGAAGACTCCTTGTCGGAGAAGGCTCATTCTGATGATGAGGCACAAGAACGACCTTGTAAGGTTGTGGAGGACCCCAAATGTAACTTCCCAACCTTTGGTTTTTTTTTGGAAGAATGAAGAAAAGGCTTTATAAAGCATGGAGGAAGGCTGTGATTGTTAAACTCCTGGGAAGATATATTGGCTACAAAGCTCTGGAATCTAGACTACAGAGCATGTGGGCTATCAGGGGAGTCATTAACCTAGTTAATATTGGTCATGGCTATTATGTGGTGAAGTTCTCAAATAAAGAGGATTATTTCAATGCATTGACAAGGAGAAGGATATTAGTTTGAAAGTTAAATAGCAATCTTATACCACATGAGTGATCTTGCAGATCCGAGCGAACAGTCCTTTGGGGACTGGACTTGCTGTGCGAAATAAGTTGTTCCTTCCTCTGCAAAGCCTACGGTAAAATAAGAGGACAAATGAAACACAAAATTCTTTAGGCTACAACTACAAAATATGCTTAAGTCAGGGCATACAGAACTGCTTTATATGAACAAACTTGTTTTAGAGCATCTTGGAAATCTTTTGCAGGGTTACCGCTCCTTTCTTCAAAAGACTGTGACCGGAAAGGGGGGGGGGGGGGAATGCAGCACAGACATCAGATATTGATAAAACTGGTTAAGAGAAACAAAGGAGGTAGAACCATCTCCCATGCTAAAAATAAGGTCCTATTTCTCCAACAGCCCCTCTTCTCCACAGGTCAGAGATTGGGAAACAAAAGACAAAGTAGGGTAGAAGGATATGAACAGTGAAAATTACTAGCTTCTCCACTAAATGGTCCACAAAATGCCTCATGAAATACGTGCTGCCTGGCAGCAACTATGGGTGGCAGCGGGATGACTTTTCTTTTAAGAGGTTCCTGTTAGTCCTCTTTCTACAGGATTCAGTTCCAGGAAGGTGTTTTCAAAATGCAATATCCCAAAGAAGGACTCGAGAACAATAATAAACTTCCATGTGAGACAGAACGGTAAGAAAAGAACCAAACTCATCCTCAAATGCTGAAAGATCTTTCACTGGATCAATCCAAGCACTATAAAGCGACAAAGTAATATTCAGCTCAATCTTTAAACATGTTAGGCGCATCTATGAAACTCGCATGATACTGAAAGTAGGCTACACTACCAGGGTTGATTCCCATAAAACTGCACCAAGACATGTCCATCGCAGGTCTGGCCTGCTAAGGTGGGTCTTTCTTCCATGATCTGAAATAATATTTTTTAAAATAAACACAAACAAGTTATGAAGTCAGGGTAAAAAAACAGGAGGCGTTGAAACATCAGCACCTCACCTCTCCTATGCCGTAAACTAATTCATCGTATCGACTAATGTTAAGAGAAAGTTAGACTAGAGGCAACCAAAGAAGCCAAAGAAAATCGGTAATCAGTGACTATAACTGAATTCAACAAAATACAATATTTCTACTCTGGCAAACTGAGAAGAGATTCTGCATGAATATTCAACACTGCAAGGCTTAGAAATCCTACTTTTCATTTGCTTCGAAATACATAACTTCCTATTCCAATACATCACAAGCATGTAATAAATAGCAGTAGAAAACAAGCAGCATGGCAGGATATGAGAGTAAATGCCTCCGCAGGCCACCACACTTGACATGATGTTTTTGCCCATACAACACTCCCCGGGGTTATAGTAATACAATTGCTGTCAGTAACAGGTGACTCCTGTTGTGTCGATTCTGATACCTTGAGTGTGTTATTTTTCCCTCGTTTACCATCCCTACATTAAATTCTCAATAAACATAATGAGAGGGAGGGAGGGAGGAGATGCAATACTTTGTATATATTTACACAGCCATGAGGAAAGGTCATCCAAAACATACCTATTGCTGCCAAGGTCAAGAGCTTCATCTTGGATAACCGATTCAACTTCAGATGCTGGAACATCAAGATTTTCATCCCTATGAGAACCACTGCATTTAACAAGTGTATCTTCAAGGAATTGTTCTTTCATTCTATCCTCATGTAAACTGTTTGCGGAGACATTGTCCAATCTAACTTCTCCAGAAGATGAACCATGTGAAGAAACTGCAAAACATGTTGCCCAAAATAAAGGTTAAACATTATTTAGTAACAAAATACAATGATATGAAGACAAAACGGGCATCAGTGCTACAGGCAATGATGTGTTTAGTCCTTGTGTACAAATTACAATGAAGTCATCATTTTAAACCCCAAAAGAAAATATTGGCGCATGTGAATTTAAATACAAGAGTGTAATTTTTTAAAGCTTTTATGAGAAGGGTGGGTCAGACAGTTTAGAGTCCTTTAAAAAAGAGAAGCAGAGAGAGACCGAGGAGAATGCTCAACAAGGTCATTGAACGGACTTTTTGGTTAACAACATATCTAAGGAATTGATTGTTGATAGAACACAATTCGTCATGTGATCCATATAGCCAACATCACCTAATGAGATAAAACTTGTTGTTGTATCATTTAATTAATCCAAGACAGGAAGTTATTGAAGGTCATTATCATTATCTATGAACTGAAAGCCCTATTAATGCTTCTCACCCTGCATATAAATACTCCACAACTAGAACACTAAGATGTGCCTGCTATTGATTACTCTGGCATCTGTTGAACCATTCAGTGTGATATCGGCACCATGACAGTTGCCAAAAAAATTCAACTTATAAGAGCAACAGTCTTAAACTGCATTGCTTTTCCTGGCTTAACCAAGGAAGCATGGGAAAAAAAAATTATTGAATAAATACATCAATGTTTTAAGACTAGCGTCCAGACCGTTCAGAAAGAAAAGTCATCCATTAATATAATGAAGCTAACAAGCAGCCATCCTCCCTTTGACTAATAAAGGAGCGAGAATGCATTTTACAGTGTCGACTGGATCATTTAATGGTTACAATAAGAGCGAAGATTGATTATTTCCGATTTATTAGATGAATTCTACAAATGGCATAAACATTACTCCAACAACTCAACGTGCAGTATTTCAGAGTCACATGACAGTACTAGCTATGCATCAATAATCCATAGCTAACAACTTACAATTAATTCAAAAAGAAGCGAAATTGGATCTATAGATAGAAGCTCAAAGGTCACAGGTTCCGGCTGGGTACGCAGTGTATACGTAGAAGCAAAGGAAGACTAAACCGCATGCATCATAAAAATAAGATAAACCATGATGATCCTCAATAATCAGCAGGAATTGAAAAAAGTTCCAGATTTTTATCCCAATTGGAAGGAAATTCAGTTACCAGTTAAATTGTTGATAATAAACTCAATTACTCAATCCCCATGGTGGTCAACATAATCGAATTTAAAATCAAAACATGTTTAACAGTGATTAGGCAAGGCGACGGATCAAGACTTATGGCGGTTAATCAAATAATTTTCACATGTTCAACCAAGAAAACTCCTAGAATGTGGTATGAGTATTGAGAACAGACATAAAATCGAGGAAAGGAAGCAACCTGGGTTGGAGAGGCAAGCAGGACTGCGCATAAACACAGAAATCAGTGCGGCGTTTTGGTGGTGTCCTTCGACGCTGTTGAGAATGTTTTGGAATACAATCAATTGGGATTATCTTTAGGCCCTTCTTCTCAGGTGTTCTTCTCTTCTTTGCCATTGCTCCGAATGGAAGTATCGGTCGGTAGAGAGTAGAGACAGGGAGGCCAAAAAGTTTCTCGAGGAAAACAGAGGAACCCTAGACCAAGAATAGAGAGACACGGTGTGTTTGATCAATGAGAATAGAATGTGGCGATTGGCAACATCAAACATTCGACGACAGCTTGAATTTAAAATTCGCCGCCTTCGATAGTTATCCTAATCTCACTTGCTTTGTACATTCCGAGTGTCAAGCGGAATTGTCCCGCTGAAATCTTCCACTATCGACCTAACCACATCCCCGACCGGGCATATAGACAGCTGCTGATGTTTCACAGCCAAGAATGTTGACACTATTCTTTCCTTTTATTCATCTGATGAATTAAAAACAGTCTTTTCCCTTTCCTTTTTATTATTGAGTGTCTTGAATAGTTGCTAAATTGCTAATTAGGCGTTTGGCAATAGCAAGGCGCGGGTTTTGAGAAGGAGATCACTCCGGCTAATCCACTAGGTGGTGCTGCGGGCATTGCTAGTTGAACCTTTTTGCCAACGCTAGTTGGGACTTGAAACGTGAGGATGTCTTTGTTGATGCGTGAGAAATTACTTTGCCTTTTTTTTTTTTTTGGGCGGTAGAGATAGCCAATTATTTTATTGTCATTCTAAGAGATGCTCTTCCAAATTTAAATATAAGAATTATTTTATAGTATAAATTTTTTAATTCTAAATATAAGACCCATTTTATAATATAATTTATATTATAAGATAGGTCTTGTATTTAAGGCTAAATGATGAGTATAAAACCAAGTAAGTAAAACCTAATTAGCTAATTTAGAAAAATATTTATTATTTTTTTAAAACTAATTAGGTATCAAAGGTTCCCTCTAATCCTCTATATAAATGTCATGGCTCGTCTCACAATGACATTCTCTTAAATTCTTAAAACTTATGCCGCTCCATCCCTGCAAGGCTAGAGAACCCATCGCTGTCTTAGTTGTGCTACCAGAGGATAGAGAGGAGTCTAATTCAAAATATAAGCTTTATTTTTTAGTTTGTCTGAGTATTTATTTTTTTATTTTACTCTTAATTGATTGTATTTAGTACTCTCTCTCATTAATATTACCCCTATATGTTCTCTTTCATCATTTTTTTTTCATTTATTGCCTCTCTTACTTATTCTCTTAATAAATAAAAGTAAATTTAAAGAAAAAAATATATTTCTGATATATTTATTATTTTTTTACTAATTTAAATTGCTAGTTCGTTAAATGTGATTCGATTATTTAAAACTTACATATAAAATTGGATGGAGCATAATGCAGAGAATAAAAACAAATGGTTAGAGTGTTTTTCTCATTAAATTAATTTTCCGTTACATTAATGAGTACAAATAAATGCTAATGGGCTAAGGTGTGTTTTTCTTTTGGGGAACTAATAATGGGCTAATGTTTCTTTTACTGCTAAAAGTCTAAAACATCATTTTAGATTGATAAGTAATTACTGCAACATATTATATATATTATTAATTATTTATTAAATACTATTACCTCCGGACTTAAATATAAGAGCTAGTTAACTAATTTGAGTAGATTAAGAAAACAAGTTAAGTTAGTTATTTGTAATAAATACGTGTTGTCTTTCATAAAATATCCTTGCCAATCAAGTTTGTTTGTTAGAACTATCATTATTAGAAAGATTATCTTAGAAAAAAATGAACAAACATGAAAGACAAAGTAGATTAGGGTAGGTCTTATATTAAGGACCGAAAGTAGTAATACTTTAATTGCCAGTCAAAAAAATACTAATACTTTAATATTTTTTTTGGCCTGGAACTTTGATATTCAATAATTTATATATCATTGTTTACAAATAGCCGCACACAATTTACAAACGTAGTCATATGATCCGTAACAATGATCTTCCACTCTTGGTGACAAGAAAAAATATCTGATACCTTTTAGTGAATATTCTTAGAGATATAAATTTCATAATCGTACAAAAAATGATACTGTGCTATTGTATAGAGTATTGTTTTTATTTATGTTATCATGACTCCTAACTTTTCTTTTTACCTGCCAACCATCATGACTCAACTGGGTCTTTATACGATTGAAGATTAACAATAAATGTATGTGATACTATGGGTGATGATTGATGTAATTAACATTCTTTATCTATTGTCTCAGATATTCTTTTATTTTATCAACATTTCTAATATTTCACTCTTCTGTTCATAAACATATTTCACTCTATTTTACCATGATACAGCGAATTCTTTTTTTTCATTTATTACCACATTCACTCCTTAATGCAAGAGTTAATTTACTAATTTGAATATATTAAGAAAATTTTTTAAGTTAGCTATTTGAATCATGTGTATTAACCAAAGTCACCACTTGATGGAATCTTTAATACATGCAACTAAAAAAATAGATAAATATAAGAGACAGTGAATTAAGATCTTATATTTAAGACCAAATTGAATATCAAATTAGCATTTATATTAAGGACCAAAGTTAGTATCACTCCCTCTAATCTTTATTATAAGATTCAAATAACTAATTTATCGATAACAAATTGTTAATAAAAAATAATTAAAAATCACAAATAGGTTAAAAATAAAATTTTATTTCCAAATATACCCTTATAATAAATAAGAAAAATAAAAGATGAAAGGAAATGTGTGGGGAAATATAATAAGAGAGAGTATGATTAAAAAAAAGAATAAATAATTAAAATAAAATTGAAAAAAATGTATTAAATGTTTAGATAAATTTTAGGAAAAATTATTCTTTCAATCTTCTAACTTTTAACTCACTTGTAACTCAATCCTTTAACTATGACTTCCTATGACTCAGTCCCTTAACTTTTGATTCGATTACAACTCAGTCCCTTATCTTTCCTTTTTTTCAGAAAATAATTTTTTATCATTACGAAATCAGTCCAACTCGTCCAACCTGTGAACAAACGTTATTAAGGCATTACTGATTGCTTATGTGGGTGCCAAGTCAGAGAGGTGGAATTTATTTAAGATTGAAAAAAAAAATTCAATTAAGGTAGGGTTTTCAGAGAAAAAAACAAAGAAGTGAAATACAGGTGACTGAACAAAGACTACTGGTAGAGGGATGAAGAGGATGAAGTGCAATATAGACGCCACGAAGAAGAAAACCCACCTTCCCCGTCGGAGAAACAAGCTGATGATGAGACTGTGGTGTCAACAAGCCAGCCGGAAGTAATATCTGAAAATTATAGTGACCCTCCATCATATCACCACGTCATTCTTATAATATCTCTATCGTTACTTCACCGTCAGCTCATATTTTACGTCTGAAATTCGATTCTTATGTTGCTCTGAATGCTAAGTCGTTGCCATTGCCGGCGATGGCGCCTGAATGTTCATACACAACCGCTACTTCGTCTTTGCTGGCGAATGATTCTGAGCTTATGGCTAAGGGTTTGAAACTGATGACGTTGGAGTCATCCAAAGATTTGACTTATGGATCATCTACTTCACTGCTACAATTGCAGGTTTGGTTTTTTTCCCCCTTTTATTTTTCTTTTCGGTTGATAAATCTTAATTTTTTTTAATGTTTTAATTTCAAATTATATATAGGATTCTCAAAGCCGACCTTCTCCGCACCAGAGACACAAGTCGTTAGTGATAAGACTCCAGTGCCAGCAAATCAAACATTACTGTAGGCGAGATGCCGAGAAGAAATTCTTCGTCTAAAAATCATAGTGATTCCTAATTTAGAAATTTTTTTAATAAATCATTCCTGTAGAAGGTGCAGAGAGGGAATTTTCATATCCATTTCCTCCATACCTCTATCAGGACGGTTTTTCAATGCCCAAATGAATAATAGAACCCACAGCTTACTTAACCCAGTTATTGTGAGAGGCCATCGATGGAAAGAAGAGGACGATGTTCTACCCAAGTAGACGACCATATGGAGGTGAGCTTTCTTTGACAGTCCGAACAACAGGATGAAGACGCAAGGAGAGGAGGATGTGCGATTTCAAACTCTCTCTCAGCACAAAAATAAAATTGAAATCTAAATAATATTGAAGAATATTTAATTAGTCTTTTTCTATAAAAAAAATTACTCATGCTCATATACAATTTGACATGACACTTACATGGATGCGAGAGATGACATGGCACTTGCATAGGAAAACAGGCATCACGGTAAAGGACAAACTTTATTAATGGTAAAAAAACGAGGGATTAAATCGTATGAAGTCATAATTAAAAAATTAAGTTATAAATGAGTTAATAGTTAAAATATTAAAAGAATAATTTTCCTTAAATTTTAAATAAAACTTATAAATTAAACACATTTTTTTAATTTGATGGGTGAGTATTTATTAGGGGGTGTTTGAGTAAAAACAAAAATATGATTTTAAAAGTACTTTTACAGTATACAAAATAAATATATAAAAGAGTTTATCTCAATTTATAAAAGGGAAAATGACAGATAAAGAAGCTCCAAAATGTGAAATGCCAATTTGGGAAGCTAAGGAAATGTAATTATCCATAGGGAAGCCCTTCCCAAATTGGGATTTTGAAATTCAGTGAAATGACAAAAATGCCCTTTGTTCTTTTTTTTTTAAAAAAAAACCCAGCCCCTCACCGGTGGCCGGCGACCGGCGACCACCGCCGGCGACTGGCCTCCGGTGGCCGCCGACCGCCTCCGGCCACCGGTGTGGTGGCTGCCGGTGAAGGATTTTTGTGACAAGATTTTTTTTTTTGGGAATAGGATAATATTGGTTCAAAGTGGCGGGGGTGAGATTTGATCCCACAACCCCTTGGCTACTTGGACCAACAAAAGGATGGCCATTGGGCCATCAAAGATTTCTTAACCTTATAATGCAAACAAAAATATAAGTTAACTCTTTTACTGTGACTCCAGCTCGTGACAACAATTTATCTGAGGATGACAAGTCTTAATTGAGAAATAACAAGTCTAAATTTCTCAATTAAGACTTGTCATCCTCAGATAAATTGTTGTCACGAGCTGGAGTCACAGTAAAAGAGTTAACTTATATTTTTGTTGGTCCAAGTGGCCAAGGGGTTGTGGGATCAAATCCCACCCCCGCCACTTTGAACCAATATTATCCTATTCCAAAAAAAAAAAATCTTGTCACAAAAATCCTTCACCGGCAGCCACCACACCGGTGGCCGGAGGCGGTCGGCAGCCGCTGGAGGCCAGTCGCCGGCGGTGGTCGCCGGTCGCCGGCCACCGGTGAGGGGCTGGGTTTTTTTTAAAAAAAAAAAAAGAACAAAGGGCATTTTTGTCATTTCACTGAATTTCAAAATCCCAATTTGGGAAGGACTTCCCTATGGGTAATTACATTTCCTTAGCTTCCCAAATTGGCATTTCACATTTTGGAGCTTCTTTATCTGTCATTTTCCCTTTATAAAAAAAATGTCTTAATATTATCACTGGCCGCACTAGAGTCAAGAGTCTATACAGGACAGAAAGTGATGTCATCACTATCAGCCCCCTTTACACTGATATTGGGGAGGTTTATTATCGTCGGGATAGGTGTGGGCCATACTACACAATTCCTTGTTCTTCTCGGAGTACTCATCAGGCTGGCAACTACAATCGCCGCAGCAAGATTTGGGATCCTTCAACGCATCACACGCACCGTAACATCCCACGCATCGACCGTCCTTGTTCGCCGCTACCAAAAATGAAGGGCACACGTCCTTAAGATCTCTAGCACAGTCCACGACCGGGCAAGGGCCGGATCCGTCCACCAGCGTCCCTCCATTGGGTTGGATCCGAACCCTCATGTTCTGCCCGTGGACTAGGCTCACTTCGTAGGATACGACCGGGTTGTTGATGTCGAGGATGAGGAGAGTCACTGTTGGAATATTTTTAAAATGAAAAGATGTGTTTTTTTTAAAAAGTCATGTCCTTATATAAATTATATGAGGGGTTATATCTTCATATAAATTAATAAATTTATTTGAAGGGCTGTGTCTTCATATAAATTAATATATTTATATAAAGGGTTATGTATGAAATTAAAATATTAAATGAACCTACATACTAAATACATTGTATTTAACAAAAGATCATGTAGGAAGTTAAAACATTAAATGAACCTACATGCTAAATTCATTGTATTTATTTAAATTATGTTGGTTCATGAACCAACATATGGTTGTGACTTTTATTTAGTAAGTTTTTATTCTAAAAGGTATCTCTTCAAGGCATCATTCCATGCTCTATATAAACCCTTCACCATCACTTCATTTGGAGATATACAACACAATTACTAAGATCAAACTCATTGCCTTTGTCTTTGAGTGCACATAGAGATAGAGTCAAATTATCACTTTACAAAAGTCATTGTTGTCTTTGTTTGAATTTTGAAAGTGCAATCCATATTTAAGGGTTTTCATTATATTCTGAAGGAAATTCACCGGTCAACCCAACTTGCACCCTAAAAAATAGGAATAGGTGGAGGCGAATTAAGCCTAAAGGAAAGTGTTATCCACGTCTTGAAGACATAGTGCACAACTTTCTTCTTCATCTCTTCTTCTTGTACTCTTCAGAGAATCATTCCCGCCAACAGTCAGCGGGTTGGGGACCCGCGCAGAACAGTTTGCCGGTGCCGCGATCCCCGGTTTGGCATGAGAAGTAGAAGGAGGCATTGTTGGAGCACTGGGTCCGAGCCCAAATGGAGCCGGTCCAGCGATCGTCCATGCTGTAAGTTGTGTGGACGTCCGGTGGAAGTTCTGGCTCCGCATCCAACATGTCGGTGCTTGCGGCGCGCCATATGGTGTAGGGACACTGGTTCGTAAAATGAAATTTCGCATCACAACGCCCTCCTGCATATTACAACACAGATGAGATCGGAGTCTTTATTGCATAGTAGAAGATGAGATCTTGCGGATAAAACCCAGGAGAGGGAGAGGGGGATATATGAGTGGGAGTCCAATAATCTTTAAAGCCTTCTTACTTCACAGCAAAAAGACTGCGTAACAGAGACTCTGAATTATGCTTGGAATGAAGCGATGAACAAGGAAGGAATTACTGTTTAGGATTGAAGCGGAAAACAAGAAAGAGCAAAACCTGGAAAGAGTAAGAGTAACGGCACCAGAAACTTGAAAAGAGCTGTGTTGGTGGCCATGATATGATCGATATCTCTCTTGATAATGGTATTCATAATGGGGATGATGACGATGGTATTCATACAGACAAACGCAAACAATTATATGCGGGAGGATTTGTGTCACAAGCGTCGCATCCAATAATTAATAATGATATTTGTTAACGTTAATATATAATTATAGATGATTGGATTATAATCAGTTTGTCATTTCCCATTCATGATAATTTCTTATTTTATTTAGACTAATCATTATATATTTATCGTGATTGTTATTATTTATTATAGATTGCTTTGGTATATCGATCATTCATTCTTGTTTTAGTATATATAAGCTCATATTAATCTGTGCTTATATTTTTATTCAATTTTGGATCAGATGCAAATTGGCCCTCGTAAGTAGTTATGCGTCCATTCCTGCACTTTGATTTCCAATGACCAACAGAGCTTCAAACCTCATTTGAAATACGTGCCATGTAGAGGATGACAATATGGCTTGAAGGACTTGGGCCAAATATTTGAAGAGAGCACGGTCGTGCTCGAGATCTGTGAGTTAATGCCTGTCAAGGAGGAGGGAAAAGGGAGCTTTTGTGAAATCCGATTCGGTAACAGTTGAGGGATTTCCAGCAACGAGATTCTCTTCGTGTATATGAGTTGAGCGGGCGGGCGGAGCCAAAGTTGAACCCAAATCCATCAGGTGGAAGATCCGTTCTGAGCGAGCAACAGACCAGGCAAAGTGGAAGATCTAAGGGCAACCATGAAAGAAAGGAAAAGGTCAGCAAGAAACTACAAATTTGTCAAGCAAGAAAGCAAAGAATATTTAGTTAGGAGTATAGCTGAAAAAATAAAGGAGACCCGGGGAGTTTTCTTCATTTTAGTATTTTTGGCAGCTACGGCGTACAATATTTGGAAAAAGAGAGGAAGTTTTGGCCTTTAAGAATTCATTTTTTACTTGTCTTTTTATAACTTTTTCATTAAAAAAATCATTTTACGCGAAATGAAGAAAATTATGCCATTAAGGTTGGCGTAAATGTAATTTAGCACAAAAATAGAAAAGTGATACATTTAGGGAGGGATCAGGAAAAGTCGAAAGCAGGAATGGACTCCCCCCCCCCCCCCAACGTACAATATGGATAAT